GAGGCAGTAAATCACACAGGAGATTTAACATCCTTCTATCTGCGTGTAAACATTTCCTTTGGTTTTCTTTTTCAGTTAATCAGTCATGCATATCCTGTTCACCTGTAATTAACATTGTTAATTACAATACACACAATGTCTGATTCCATTCATCTCACATTGTTCTTCCCTTCACCTAATTCCAATAGAGTTCATTGTCTATTCATTCATTTCCTCCTCTTCTAGAACCCAAATACTAGCTTGATTCTCTCTATAAGTAAAATTTCTTTAATTTTTGCTTATTTGTTTTTTATAACAGTGGTCTTTTAAATATCTATCATTTTGTGACAGGCTTATTCCATGTAGTGTAATGCCCTCTAGACTCATCCACCTTGTGTACTGTTTCACAAGTTCTTCATTGTTTTTCAGTGTCATGTAATCATCCATTGGGTGAATGCACTACAATTTTTCTACACGTTCATTTGCTGATGGGGACTTGATCTGTTTCCATTTCTTTGATATTGTAAATAATGTTGTGTTAAACATGGGTGGACATATGTCTATTGGTGTCTCAACTAATTTCATCAGGATATATTGTTCTCTTATACTTATTATCCTGATGAACTTTCCTAAAATCTTGGCCTTTGAATTCACTAGTGGCTCTGAGAGAGATCATGTTAGATTTATAGCCTTGGAAACTGATAAAAGGTCACTGTATGATGGACTTGATATCAGTGGACACCTTATTCACAAAAAGATGTTCATTTAAAATATTGATCCTTTTCAGTCATAAAAAGAAGATGAAAATCCACTTCTGCTATTCTCAATAAGATTGTTGCATCATGTAGAGTCTTTGTAGGGATGAATATATAGATATAATATATAGAACTATGAGGACAGGTGATTCAGCAGAGTGTGGAAATTATTGAACAATATCATTAATATCACATGGAAGCAAGATTCTGCAGAAGATTATCTAAAAACGACTGGAACAGCACATCAGCAGAGAACTGCCAGAAGTGCAGGCTGGGTTCAGAAGGGGTCATGGTACTAGGGATATTGTAGCTAATGTTAGATGGACCTAGCAGGGAATACCAGAGGAACAGGTTCTTCCTGGAGATGATTAAACCAGGCTGCTCCTTGGAGGCAAGGATTCTGAAGCTTCCTCAGACATATTTTGGTCATGTTGCAAGGAGGGACCAGTCCTTAGAGAGGGTGGAGGGACAGTGCAGGAGAGGAAGACCCTCTATGAGATGGATTGATTCAGTGACTGGGGTAATGGGGATAAGTGTATCAGAGACAATGAGATTGGCACAGGATAGAACAGGGTTTAGGGCTATTGTACACAGGGTCGCTATGAGTTGCAAGTGACTCAACGGCACATAACAACAACAACAACATATAGAACTATATAAAAGTTAAATAACATTTGTAGGGG